TGTTTTTGTTTCATTTTTATTATTAAAATAAATAACCATTTCTCCAGAAATTGAGTCCTCGCTTCATCTCCCCGCATGCACCGTGACAGAAACACACAGTGTCTCCACGGCATGGCGGCGGCAGCAACAATACTACAGTGAGAATAAAAGTTATGTCTTCTTTTTTTGCGTGAACATTTGGGTGGCGTTATGCAAATCTTCCCACATCGTGACGTAGACATGTGGGGGTGTGTTAGAACGAGCCGTTTTAGGTAGGCATGGCTGACTCTTAACTTTTATAAAGAATATCTCTTTGTATTTGATACTTTAGTCTTTGCAACTTTACAAATCTTCTTTATGCACCAAGAGCTTGTAACACTTCAAAGAGAAAGGAAAAATTTTTAATTAAAATTTTTTTCTGTCAAGCCTGGATTGCTGGATGCTTCTTCCTCGAATCCACCGGCCGCACCGTTCTCAAGCTCACCGGCCTCCTCTCACTCAGCCCGACGGCCGTTCCTCACTCTAGGCCGCCGCCGCATGTGACGCTGTGTTTCGTTGTGAAAGCGAAACTACTTTGTTTGGCCTTCCAAAAGAGGACACGACTAGAAATCAGTGGTTAAGTTGTATTTACAACACTGTTCCAGAACACTTCAACCCAAATATTCAGATGTGTGCAGTGCATTTTATGGAGGACTGTTTCCTGATCCTGGGAGAGTAGAGTACAATGCTGGCTGTTCTGACTCACAGACTGTAAGTACGTTTTTTATATTTAAAGAATTTGCCACATGATTCAAACGCGAGTTTTGGGCAGTGTAGAGTAGCGCTTGTTGTTTGTCATTTCCCCGATCACAAATGCAGAAATTGTTTTATGTTACGCTCCGGCCTGACAGGGCATCATCACAGTATGTGAGGGGCGTAACATTTCTGTCACACACTTGAGGTATTCGGCCAATCACAACGCACTGGATAGCTGGCCAATCAGAGCACACCTCGCTTTTCAGACCGATGAGTTTTGTAAAAATCGCCGCATTTCAGAAAGGCGGGGCATAGAGGAGAAACAATGTACAGTTTGTGGAAAATAATGTTTTTTTTTACCTTAAACGGCATAAACACATTTCATTACACCAAATACAAAAAAGAATGTTCTTTTTAGCAACATCATATAACCCCTTTAAAACGTGAGTAACCAATCACAGACATACTTGATTTTTTTTTAACACCTGTGATTGGCCATTGATTTTCAGTCACCTCTAAATGCTGCATTTTTTTCCTGCATGCTGGTGAATCCTCTCACTGTAACACAATGTAATAAGAGGTTCATTGATTTATAAAGGAACTTTGTGACAATGCAATGAACTAAAGTAAGTGACACCTTATTAGTCATTATAAAGTAAGGGCTATTTGCGCACTTTCTTGGCTAGATATAATCCATTCAGAATTTGAATAAAAGTTTTGTTTTTCATGCTGCTAATGGCCATACACCCTATACAAGCAGCAAAGTTTCATTTTCGAATGGGAGAAAAATAATTTCTCAAAACAGATGTTTAAGCAATGCAGACTAATAGAAAAATATTTGAATTTTCATGTCAAAATATTTTTTTAATGCAGTTGCAATTATTTATAAAAGTAATGACTAGTAAATCTTGCAATTCTTTCACTGTTACAATTCTTGTTGTGGTCAAAAGTTAATAGTTTTGCAGCACTACAACAGTTATTTGACAATTTTATGATAAAAACACAGTACCATCACGACGTAGGTAAAGATGTCAGACAAAACTCTGCTGACAGGCATTTTAGATTTTTGTATATAAATGTATAAAATACAAAACAATCCAAATAACCCCCAACCAACCTGCTGTGTGAAATCTCACACAAGGTTAAACTCAAAAGTTGGCAACCCTGGCCCTTGTAAACAACAAAACAAACAACAAAAGGAAAGTATGACCAATGACCAATTTCAGTTAGTCAGAATCCACTCACCTTCCAAAACTTAGGAGTTTTGTTTTGTTATATGTGATGTAAGTGTAGATGTAAATAAGAGCTTAATTGATAATGGATTTTTTGGGGGGATAGCGATAATAATATTATAATGGGAGCGCTCTTTGTGCGCTTTCTTGGATACATGTGATCTATTCCGAATTTTAAAATAAAAGTTTTTTAAAACAAATTTTTAAATTAAAAAATTAAGTTTTGAAAACAAATTTTTGGGAGTGACATCCGCATATATCTTGAAATAGCACTGACTGACATGATAGAGATAATCATAACAAAGGACTGGACAAAATATGTGTCAAGATAGGTGTGCATGAAGGCTAATTAAAGGGTTAGTTCACCCAAAAATGAAAAAAAAAAAAAAGTGTCTCACACGCCTCCGGGGGGTGAACAAAGGCATCTTGTAGCGAATCGATGCGTTTTTGTAAGAAAAATATCTATATTCAAAACGTAATAATCACTTTAATGTAGCTTGCACCAGCAGTTGTACACAGAAGCAGATGACGTATGAGGTCAGCGTTGCACATAAGCAGTGAGTCTCGTGAAAACCAACTTTTGTTTACAGGAACAACGGAAGCAAAGTTTCCTTACTTTAGCAAAGGAAAACCAGTCTTCTCTTGGCTTATATCGAAATCCTCCGACATTCTTCTTTACTTCTTTTGGACTGATGCATGCAACACCCGCTGAGTGGCATTAAACAGCTTGAAAGATCAAAGACAATTTTTTTATATAACTCCGACTGGATTCGTCTGAAAGAAGTCATATACACCTAGGATGACGTGAGGGTGAACTAACCCTTTAAGCACCCTGGCTAATTTCAGAAGCACAGTGTTTAGAGCTCCTCCGGGACTCGAGACCGGTCTGTGGAGCACCTGTCGCTCATTCTCTCCACCGGCTTCGCCACTTCACGCCACTAGCTATATTATATGTGATTTAATGCATGTAAATGGTTGTATATATGAGTCCCGTCAATTTAAAAAGAAAAAATAGGGTCAGTGTGAAAACCACTGCCTTATTCCTACATGACAGAAAGGCCTACCTGCAGAAGTTCTTGAGTTTCTAAAGCATCAGAGCCAGGGACATGTGAGCTTAGGTAGCATTATCAGCAAGCATTCGTGTTTTGCACTCCAATGTCATTTTTGTAAATTGAGCACCCCCTAGTGGTAGGTTAAATCAAATATTTTACTTTAAACACTTAGGAAATGGAACATATTTGTCTGTCGTATGCATTGTAAATTATCAATTCATTGTCAGACATATCATAATCA